AATACTGTCAATTACGTTCACGTCTTTACTATTAGGTGCTGTGAAAAATTTTTAACGCGGATTTGAATGGTTTAGAAGGCCTAGTTTCCTTGTGTGTGGAGGTGTAAAGGTCATCTGAAAGTCATTAATGTCTTTCTTAATAGTAATCGCATGTTTTTTGTAACATAAGTCTATGCAGCTTGACAGTCTTTAGAGAAACAGTGTTAATCTATTTGTATTAAAAAATTAACCGGTTTTCCTGACAACGATAAAATTGCAATCTGAATTAGAACTGACCTAGAAGACAGTATTTAGTGACCCACCCTATATATACAATACAAAATGACAGCACGCTTAATAACTTTTAGTGTTCTTCGAGTAACTTCAGAATAATAGCTATATCTCGGCAGAAAAACATCGTATGATTATAAATCAAATTTGATTTTGTAGAGGAAGGTTAGTACTACACAAAGCAGTTGATAAAGATTTTGGAAAGTTGTGGAATGATAAGAGACGTTGAAAAATTGATTAGGTATATCAGAAGAACCACAAAGATGAATGATTACGATAATAAAATTCGAAATTTTTAATGACACTTTTAGAAATAATCATGTAGACCATGCTATCTTCGGTATCGATTCTTTAAAAACCAGATATTTACATTTCACAAAATAAAAGCCCAATAAATCGTCATATTCGAATATTTGGGAAAAAAGAAACACGCATGATTCATCGTCTGAAGAAGACACGAAGGAACCCAGGCTAACAAAGGAGTCCTTCAGGCTGCCTGGGATGGGGACAAACTTCATCGCGTTTTCCACGTCGAATTGACCAAATCCGGAATCCATTAACCCCGAAAACACGGTTCTGAGAGGTAAGACTTGGTCCGAAGGTTCCCACGCGGGTCGAAGGCCGAATTGGGGGGTAAGGATGGTCCGCGGGAAGAAAGAAAACGGGAGCAACAGGAGCCTAGGCTGGCCGTTTTTCCCGGTGTTTGCTGACCTCCTGGTCCTTCAGCCCGAGCTGTGTTTGCTCGTGTGCCAGAGGGCTCGAGCCGGCACTCGAGGAAGCCATCTCGAAGGACTCGAGCCGAGTCGAGTGTCTCATTTTTGTTTGCCGCCACGGGATTTTCCCGACAAAGGGCCGCCGACTTGAGCCGGGGATTACGGATCTATCTGCTCCCTAGAGCGGTCCAGAGTGCTGTTCGCGCTAATTTCCCGGCTTTCCGCCGACCTGACCGCGCTGGCTCATGGGCCAGGGAAATTAGGCAGACTCGGGAGTCAAGTCGAGGTTTCTCGTCCACGCACCTTGGTACCCTAACTCATCTTATTCTGAGTAAGTTGCGAATCGAGGATAATTCGTGAAAGTATTGGAACTGACTTGACATGCATGTGATAAGCACATGACAATTTTTAGAAAATTAATGGAATTGACAGGTGTTAGGAATATTTTCCTAAAACTAGAAATTGATATTCAGGTAGTTAGGGTAACTGGAGAATTTTTGGTTCATTGGTATAGGCTTGGTTTGACATTTAGACCTGTCTTAGATAGCTCTAAACAATCTTTGCTTTCTATTACATGCTACTTATGTTCTTGATCACATAATCCGTGTATGCACTCAGAGTTTGCCTTCTTGACAGAAGGATAGAGTTATCCAGTTGCTCGCTATGACTCATGTGGATTCTATGAAGCATAATTGTGAAATGTAGAAAGAGATGTCTAAAGATATTAACTGAATCTAGGAATTAATACTAGGTGCTTAGACATTCGCCATTTTGGATAAGTGAACTTTGTTTCGCTACAAACAACTGGATGCACATGCTATTATAGAGTACAACAATAGTGTCCTGTTTTTAAAATAATAATATGGAATTTTGGAAAGAGAAAGGACTAAACTTCGAAATGTACATTGCTGGAGGATCGAGCTAATCGTGACGTGTCTGTGTATCGAAAAATAATTACATCAGCATCACGATGTCACCGTCCAATTATGTTCACGTACCCCTAAGTTCCCAAAGGTCTCCTTTCTGTATAAATCCTGTACCCAACTATCGTCATAGCGCAAAATTCTGCAAATTTCGCCAAGCCTCTGTCAACATACCCAATTGACACTCCCCCGTTCTCAAACTCTGAAAAACCGCACTTGGTGGCCCAGATTCTCTCATTCTTGAGTTCAAAACCACCGGCATAGTACCTGATACACGCTACATTTAACCATAACCTATACAGCTCTTCTGAAACGGGGGTGAAGCCGCGTAGAGGGCGCTGCAGCGTCGGGAAGATAGAGATCCGCCAGCTGACGATGGCGTGAAAGCCGCAGCGGATCTTCCGCCCCACATCCTCGGGACCAAAGCGATCTTGAGCGACGAGAATCCCGATCGAATGTTCCCCGAATGCGGAAAGGGTTGAGCCGGCTGGCCGGCGCTGGGCAGCCCTGGTGGAAGCCCTTGGCATTTTCTGGGCTCGTGCACAGGCTGAGGGGCTAGAGGACGCAGGTGAACCGTGGCTAACACGGTGGTTACCTTGCGACTGCTCGTCCCTTCAACCCCATCCGGGCCCAGGGGAGCTCGGGCAAAGAATGGAAGGGGCCGGAGGAAGAGGGAGCAACGGTGGCGTACCGCGCGATTGGCACGCGGTGTTCCAGCAGCGCGGAGAAGGCCAGGACGAAGAAGAGCAGAGGACGAGGCGGCAGCAGGAGGATGAGGAGGTGGCGGAGGACGAGGTGGTTGGAGGAGGAAGAGAAAGGCTGCTTGGTCGTAACAAAGGTCGGGCTGTGCCAGCCATTGACATCGCTCTGGGCCCCGGCTGGAGGACTAGATTTCACGAGCCAGCGATGCAGGATCCTTCAAAGGACGCCGACACGGACTGCCGCAAAAAGGATTCGCAAAAAAGGAGAACGGTGCAGCGTCCGCGTCCCAGAGAGGGGCGGAGGAGGAGGCCGCTGAAAGAACCAGGCTTCTTTGCTTCGACGCTGGCTTCCGCAGACCGGGGCCCCCTCTTCGTCGTCTTCTCACAGAAAACGATGGAGAGACCACTATGTAACCGGGGGCTGCCAGAGGCCAGGGGGGAGGCTAATAGAGAGGAGCGGACGGGCCACCACCGGGGCACCGGCTGCTGCAACTACTTGACGCCGAAATCCATCGCGATAACTTAATCCTCGGGGATTACGGACAGAGGAATCCTCGGGGTAAGGTTAACGGCCAGTGCTCCTCCGATTTTTATACCGAGACGGCAAATGTGGCTTTCCTTCCTTCCAGGGTGCAAGTTTCGGATGGTACATTGACAGAGATTAGAGACCGATACCGTTGATTTCTTTGTTGGGGAATAATCGTGACTCTGGGCTCGATTAACCGATGATGGGTGAGGTTTCGGATCTTACGGATGTCGGTAGATACGAGATAACGTGTATATAGTAATTAGAATCCTAACTTTTTCATAGCGAGTTAGAAAAATGGGGTTAGAGAAGGTTCGATGAAACAATTGGTGATTTAGGCAGGATCCAGTGAGTCTGGGGTCAGTCAATTGAGGATTGGCGATGTTCTATGTCACATATATACTAGTACAGCGATACAAAGTATAAATGCCAACTTTCAGACCTAACTTTTTCATCGCGACCAAAGGAAAATAGAGTTATAGAGGGTTAGGGAAGCCTAGAGTCTGTCAATTGGTGACTTAGAGAGAGTTCGGGGATTTTAGGGTCAGTCAATTAGAGAATGATGATGTTCTATGTCGTATGGACGCGAGTACAATGACGCAAACTCTAAATGGCAATTTTTGGACCTAGCTTTTCATCACGAGCAAAGGAAAATGCAGTTAAGGAGGATTCAGTGAGTCTAGGGTCAGTCAATTGGGGATAGATGATGTTCTGTGTCATATAAACACCAGTTCAATGACACAAATTGGTAATGGCAATTTTTAGACCTAGCTTTTCCATCGCGAGCAAAGGGAAAGGAAGTTAAGGATGATTCAGTGAGTTTAGAGTCAATCAATCGATATGTAATACCGTTCTATATTCTATAGATATCAGTACAATGACACGAATTCTAAATGGCAATTTTTAGACCTAGCTTTTCCATCGCGAGCAATGGGAAATGAAGTTAAGGAGGATTCAGTGAGTCTAGAGTCAAACAATCGATAAGTAATACTGTTCTATGTTTTACAGATACCAGTACAATGACAAGAACTCTAAATGGCAATTTTTAGACCTAGCTTTTTCATCGCGAGCAAAGGAAAATGTAGTTAGAGAGGATTCAGTGAGTTTAGGGTCAATCAATCGATAATTAATACTGTTTTATGTCCTATAGAGAACAGTGCCTACAGTGACCCAAGTTCTAAATGGCAATTTTTAGACCTAGCTTTTCCATCGAGAGCAAAGGAAAATGCAGTTAGAGATGATTCAGTGAGTCTAGGGTCAGTCCTTTGGGGATAGATGATATTCTGTCTAATATAAACACCAGTGCAATGATACAAACTCTAAATGGCAATTTTTAGACCTAGCTTTCTCGACACGAGCAAAAGGAAACGAAAATGAACTTAGAGAGGATTCACTTAATCCTCTAAAGTCAGTAAATTGGAGACTGATCATGTTCTCCATCTCACAGGTATCGGTTTATCGATACGAACTATAAATGGTAACATCTAGACCAAACTCTTCCCTCGCGAGCAGTAGAAAATGGGGTTATAGAGGGTTCATCGCTATCGCGTGTCACACTGTCAGATTTCTTTCCGGAGTGTCTAACTAGGCTGCATACGTTCTTCCGTTACTTCTTAACGAAACGAAAAGGATTTCTTTGTAATGAACTCGAACGCTGATATAGATCGTAGAAAATTGGCGAAACAGGCGTGTAGTTGTAAGTGGTCATCGTCGAGGACGGAGAGTGCCGCGTGCACGCGGCCTAACGAGCTTTTAATCGGCCGATCGTTAGGTCGTTAGCCGGGCAAACGTTAGCGATTAATTGCGAGACTCGGAGCTCCAACTTACAGGCTAGTAAGTAAGTAATTGTTTGGTTGGCGTTACGTACAGTACTTACAAAGCCGTGCTTGTCGCTGATGTTGTTAGTGAGTTTCAGCTTGTGGAAGCTCACGACCTTCTGCATCCATTGCTCACCGCTGCTCGGCGAATCCGGGTGGATGTACATCCTCTTCGGCATTTCCGGGTCGGCCTTCCCCGCCACCATCCACCTGCTGTTCGACAAACATGTTAACATCTTTGAAATTTTCCTATTTCAAAATTTATTACCGAGAAAAATATTATTAGATCTAAAATCTATACTCATAGAGGGATTCGAGGGAATTATAAGTTTCTTAAAAGTATTCGAGTCGATCTATGGAAATTTAACCCTTGCACTCGAGAAGCGCCCTTTAGTCGCCATTTGATAAAATTTCGAAGATCGATATTTATTAATATGTCAAATTTCAGGTAATGTAACGGTGTGCGAGGTATCGAGATCTAATAATTCTACGTGCTAATTGACATACGATTCCTTCTCTACTGCTCAAAAAAATATCCTCAGTTTTATAGCAGGAAATCTTTGAACTCCTACTCTTCTTTAGTCAAAAAATCGTCGAGTACAAAGGGTTAAAATTGGCACCCAAATTGGCACCATGAAGGATGGTGTTTAAAAAACGAATGGGAAAATGGTGAACGTATTTTGTATATTAATGAAATGGGATGGAAATAAGTGACACGAAAATTGTCAATTTAGCAAATATGTAAATTGGCTTTTCATATTGGTAATATCATTTTTCTAAATTATTCAGTAAATTTGAGAATCATTTTCATTCCTATCAAAAATTTGCAGATTATGTTTTGCTGGGTGTAGAATACATGGAGGTATATACTAAGTAAATAGATGTATATATGTATTTTTTAAATTTGAATACCGAGCACTCTCAATTTCTATTTTTCATTCTGGATAGTTGATCAACTCAGCAATTAAATACTTCGTATATATGTATAGAGACGACAGTGAGTTTGAAATTACTGAAATTACTATGACATACCTAATGTTATTTCAAAAGTCTTCGAGATATTGACAGAAAATTTACCAAAGTCTAAATGATCATTTACTATACTTTAATTATAAATTTCCCATTCAACGTTGTTGCCATAATTTAGGCATGATCTAGTTTTCAATAATCCTCGTCCACTTTTCTTACACGTTTACCTGCCATTTGACAGGTCATGATAGTTAAATGATTGTTAAAAAATTGCAATATAAATTCTTCATCCCAGAGCTATCTCCAACCCTAATTCCCAAGCCTAAATGTAATGAAAAAAAATCTAAAAAGCAATTTTTAATTATCTTCGTATGTTCCACTTTCTTTTTTCTTTACCCACCTGTCATTTGATTAGTCATAGTAAATTCAGTATTAAAAAATTCCACGATACATTTTCCCGATGAACCTAAAGCTACCTTCAACCCTAATTCCCAAGTCTAAATTTAATGAAAATAATGAAAATGAATTTTTCAATATCTCCTAGTATTCTACATTTTTTATTTCTTCGTTTACCTGTCATTTGACTAGTCATAGTAAATTCAGTATTAAAAAATTCCAGGATGAATTTTCCCAATGAACCTAAAGCTACCTTCAACCCAAATTCCCAAGCCCTATCTGATGAAAAAAAAATTCAAAAATCAATTTTTCAATATCTCCTAGTATTCCACTTTTCTTATTTCTTCCTTTACCTGTCATTTGACTAGTCATAGTAAATTCAGTATTAAAAAATTCCAGGATGAATTTTTCCAATGAACCTAAAGCTACCTTCAACCCCAATTTCCAAGCCCAGATTTAATGAAAAAAAGAAAAATTCAAAAATCAATTTCTCAATATCTCCTAGTATTCCACTTTTCTTATTTCTTCCTTTACCTGTCATTTGACTAGTCATAGTAAATTCAGTATTAAAAAATTCCAGGATGAATTTTTCCAATGAACCTAAAGCTACCTTCAACCCCAATTTCCAAGCCCAGATTTAATGAAAAAAAGAAAAATCCAAAAATCAATTTCTCAATATCTCCTAGTATTCCACTTTTCTTATTTCTTCGTTAACCTGTCATTTAATCGGTCATGGTTCACTGTCAGATTGACTGTTAAAAAATTCGAAGATAAATTTTCTCAACTAACTCAAAGCTTCATCTAACCCCAATTCTGAATATAAATCCCCGAAGAAATACCGCACAGAAAACCACCCCCGAATATCAAAGACACGCTTGCAGCTAGAGGAAAATGTTGGCAGATATGGCGAAAGGGAAATCGCGGAATGGGAAATGGTGGAGGGTTACCGCGAATAGGAAGCGGAGGAAAAGGTGTGCAAGTTTCTCGGCTGATTCCTCTAAGCACCGGCTACCGCGATTGTTGTCTTTTAAGGGAGGCGTGTCTGGCCGTTCGTAGTCGGATCGCAGGTGGGTCAAAACGAGCGAACGAAGAAGAACTCGTTCGACGAGTTCCAAAGTGGCTGCGGTCGCCTGCGTGATGTAATCGTTCATTGTGGTCTGCCTTTCGATTGGCCGAGTGTCGACTTCTCTCCTCGCGTTCTTCCTTCGCGTTCCATTCCTCGCCAACTGCCCCTATTTCGTCTAACAGCCGTGTCCAATTCGATAGAACGGGACGAAAGTGACGAGGTCTTGAATTTCGAAATAGGGGAGACGTCCAAACATTCTCCACGCGAATTTTTGCGAGCCTCTGCGTGGAACACGACTAACCAGTTACGTAACTTTGAGAAAAGCGTATCCAATTTTGAATGTGGTACCGAGATTTCCTTTAGGGGAATTTAGAAGACTATTAAGATGAATTTTAATTCATTCGATGGATTTTTACAGCAATGATATGTGGAATATGAATAATTAATTAAATAGCTCTTCGAAGAAGATCGAAGTTTCGTAATTCCGAGAGAAACGTTCCAAATTTTGAATTTGGTACTGAGATTTCCTTAGGGGAACTTAGAAGAGTCTAAAGACGAATTTTAATTTATTGTTTGATCATTTTTACAGCACCGATATGTGGAATTTGAACGATTAATTAAATATTTTAATGAAGAGAGCAGAGTTTCGAATTTCGACGAGATTTCCATTAAAGGGACTTCGAAGATACCTACCCTAAATTTTAGGGTTTGTTTGTCACTTGCACAATGTTGCATCCCAAAGTCGTGGAACTCAAGGTATAAATTAAATGTCCCATTATGTCCCATTTCTCCATAAATATCTCTCTAACGAACCTAAATTTCAATTCGTCATTCTTCCATTTATACACCCTCATATTCGTTTTCCCCTCGAATTTAAGTAACTAAAAATTTTCTTAATGAAGAATCCCAATTTTGAATCTCATGCAAACAATTTTATTAAGGAAACACCAAAGACCCTTAACATGAATTTTTAAATATCGTTTGCCCTATATTTTTCATCCCCATGTGCAATTGTAATTTAAGTAATTAAGTATTTTCCCAATTAAAAGTCCCAATTTTAAATCTCGCGCCAAGATCTTTATTAAAGAAACTCTATACAAACTTTACACGAATTTTTATTCATCATTTGCCCCATTTTTCCACCCCTTACACGTGTGATGCAATTAATCAACCAAGTACCACCTCAAAGGCATCCCAATTTCAAATCTGGGATCAAGATTGCCATTAAAAATATTTTAAGCACCTCGAACACGAATTTTAATTCATCATTTGCCCAATTTTTCCACCCCTCGCGCGTGTGATGCAATTAACCAATTAAATACCATGCCAAAAATTTCGAATTTCGCGCCAAGATATCCATTAAGGAAACTCCAAAGCCTCGTAACGAATTTTAATTCCTCGTCTGTCCAAATTTCAACATCCCCCTTACTCACGGTTAAACCTAACTGAGGAGAAACTAGGTGAATATCTCTGAAAGGAACATCCGCGGTTTCGAATCTCGCGCGAAGATCTGCGTGGAAGAAACTGTGAATAAGCTAGCCTAAGTCGGACACGGACGCATCCGACACCGCGGGAAAGGGAAGAGTGCATAAGCGATTTCGCGGGCGCAAAAAGCGTGCGGGAGCTTGAACGCGGTCCCGTTTCTTCCGCTCGTGAGAACCCGCGCGCGGTCCCCGTTGCTGTTCGCCATTTACGCGGCGCGGAATCTCGATCTCCGACGCGTTTTCGCGAAGTCGGTCGGCGAATTTCCCGCCGCTTTCCCGGCTCCGCCGATTATGTTCCGTTTAGCACCCTCGCGACGCGGAAAAACGTTAAACGGGCCTCGAGGATCGCGCGGCCTCGTGGGAACGCTACGCGATTCGGCTTTCCTGGAAAAAGTTAATGGCGAGCTAATGACTGGCAGAAGGTTCAACTGCGACGACAGCCAGTTGCTCTAGGATTCTGGGGAAAAAAGATGAACAATGCGCGGCTTTCTTCTGACACGCATTTGGATACTATCGGAGGATTCGCAGCTACTTCGCTGTGGAGAATTTGTATGGGGTTTGTGGGGGGATTTAATTCATGGGTACAGTATCGCGAATATTTTTTAATTCGTGTGAAGTATTTTACCGTGATTAATTATAATTCCATTCAGGTGTCGATATTGAGAAATACTGTTTTATTAACCCCTTATTGTAACGACGTTAAGGGTACAGTATTATGTATATTTTAATATTTTAATTCGCGAAAAAATATTTCGTTAGATTTTGTATTAGCTTTTGAAAGAAATTTTGGTATGATTAATTATGGTACCACTGAGGTGCAAATAATTAGAGACACTGTTTTATTAACCCCTTGATAAACCTATGTTAAGAGTACAATAGTATCGTGTACATTTTAATATTTTAATTCGCGAAAAAGAATTTTATTAAATTTTGTCCTAGCTTTTGAAAAAAAATTCACTATGATTAATTATGATACCACTGAGGTGAAAATAATTAGAGACACTGTTTTATTAACCCCTTGATAAACCTATGTTAAGAGTACAATAGTATCGTGTACATTTTAATATTTTAATTCGCGAAAAAGAATTTTATTAAATTTTGTCCTAGCTTTTGAAAAAAAATTCACTATGATTAATTATGGTACCACTGAGGTGAAAATAATTAGAGACACTGTTTTATTAACCCCTTGATAAACCTATGTTAAGAGTACAATAGTATCGTGTACATTTTAATATTTTAATTCGCGAAAAAGAATTTTATTAAATTTTGTCCTAGCTTTTGAAAAAAATTTTGCTATGATTAATTATAGTACCACTGAGGTGTCAATATTGCGAAATATTATTTTATTGACCTCTTATTGTACCAATTTTAAGGGTACAGTAGTATCATGTATATTTTAATATTTTAATTCGCGAAAAAATATTTCATTAGATTTTGTATTAACTTTTGAAAGAAATTTTGATGTGATTAATTATAGTACCACCGAGGTGCCAATAATTACAAATACTACTTTATTAATCTCTTGCTCTACTGATTTTAAGTGTACAGTAGTATCCTGTATATTTTAATATTTTAATTCGCGAAAAAATATTTTATTAAATTTCGTCGTAGCTTTCGAAAAAAAATTTTGCTATGATCAATTATAGTGTCACGGAACTGTTAATATTGCGAAATACTGTGTTATTAACCTCTTCTTGTACCAACGTTAAGAGTGCAGTATCGTGAATATTTTACTATTTTAATTCGCGAAAACATATTTCATTAAATTTCGTCGTAACTTTTAAAAAAGAATTTCACTATGATTAATTATAGTATCACTGGGATATTAATATTGCGAAATTCTGCTTTATTAACTACCTTACACATTAATATTTTAATTCGCGAAAAATTATTTTATTAAATTCCGTCACAACTTTTGCAAAAAAATTTCACTATGATTAATTATACTCTCAGGTATAAATATTACGAAATACTACATCGTTAACCTATTACTGTACCAACGTTGACTAAAAAATTTGCAATTTTATTAATTAATTATCATCGCGATCCTATTTCATCACCCGAAATAATTTAACACCCTGTATATCGAACTTCCTAAAATTCCATCTTCTTTGTGATCTTAATCTCGACGCTATTGAATATCGTAATCGCTTATTAAATCGATAATGAAAAAATATCGAAAAATTGCTTGCTTCCGATTTTCATAAAATAATTAGAAAATAAAAATGACTCGATCTTCGCCGTTTAAATTTGCTCGTAAATGTTCATTGTGATTTATTTTATCGGCATCGCGTCTTTCATTACGTTTTATGTAATCGATATCGTGTTCTTTAACGCGACTCCACGTTAATAATATCATTTACGCGGCGCGATTATTATTTTATAGAATTCCATATTTTATATCACTCTGATTTACTACAGATTTATATCGAAGTAGGATTACAGCGTGACCGGAAGCATCAGCGGCCATCGAGCACCCTCCATCCTTCGTGATCACTATACCTCGTTCAACCCCTTCAATCGCAATTTATTAAATTCATTAAATTTAACAATTAATTCCGCGGAAATAAAATATTTCCTCCTTTCCTCACATACACACATACATATTCACACACACACACGCACACACCTCACGCGCACACACGCACACACATACCTCACGCACACACACGCACACATACACTCGTACGCACACACACATACGCACACGCACACTCACACGCATACGCACACATTCACACTTACTCACTCACTCACTCACTCACACTCTCTCTCTCTTTCTCTCTCTCTCCCCCTCGACTCGTTACACGAAAATAAATTAAAATCACAGGTCACGCGACGGATTCTTCCAAATCCTTCGATTTTTCCGCGAAAAGATCGCCCTTATCGTGTTCGCGGCTTAATCGAATTCGGATTAACGCAGAGACGATGATTTCCGACACGTGGACGTCCCCGGGGAGAAAGCGGAGAGTTAAGTTATAAATCGATACGCGGGGATAATGGCCGGCTTCAATACGAGGCTCGTTATTTCGCGTGGTGCTGCAATTTCGGGCTGTGTAAGCAGCAGGCGCTAACTCGGGGAGACGAAAGTGTCGCTGTGTAATCGAACTTTGGAACGTGATAATTTCGAAGTATAAATCTTTTTCCTGTGGAAAGTGCCGGCTGAAATTGCAGGCCTTGCACTATCGGGGATAAACGGTGTTTTGGTAACTCCTCATTTCGGGACATAAACTTCGCGCCGGGGAAATTGAACGGTACGCGGTTCGAAAATTTTGGCGTGAAAATTACGAGACGATAGGTGGGGGGAAGGGAGCCAGTCTTTAGCTCGTCCTGGAGTTAAATTGATTTCGAAATCCGGAAAGAAAAAGTGGGGGTAGGTAAACGAGGATAGGGTGTACGACGAATAGGAGAGTGAGGGAGAGAGAAAATTGAAATTGCAGGAAAAGGAATGGAAAAATTTGGCATGACGAACGAAAGAGAGAAAGGAAAAGGAAATTATAATTTCAAGAAAAGACGAAAACGATATCTTGGATAGCAAAGGGGAGAGATGGAGCAAGGAAGATGAAAAATTAAAATGGGAGAAAGAAAAGATTAAAAAATCACGAATGACGGACAAAGAAGAAAGAGAAAGAGAGAAAATAAAAATTGGAAGAATATGGAAGAAAGTAAAAATCTTATATGACGAAGGAAAGAGAAAGAGAGAGAATAAATTAAAATTAAAAGTGAAACAAACAGAAAATAAAAGAAAATCTCGGATAATTTACAGAAGATAACCAAAAGGGGTGAAAAATAAAAATTAGCAAAAACAGAAGAAATTAGACAATCTTAAATGGAGAACAGAAGAGAAAAGAAAAAGTCGAGACAAATTAAAATTAAAAAACAATAGACATAAAGAAAATAATCTTGCACAATTTACAAAAGAGACCCAGAAAGGGGGCGAAAAACTAAAAATTGGAAAAAAAGGAAGAAAGTAGACAATCATAAATGGAGAATACAAGAGAAAAGAAAAAGTCGAGACAAGTTAAAATTAAAAAACAATAGACAGAAAGAAAATAATCTTGGACAATTTACAAAAGAGAACCAAAAAGGGGATGCAAAAATAAAAATTAAAAGAAAACGGAAAAAAAGAAAAAATCTCGAACGACGAATGGAAAAATTGCAGAAAATTGGAGAAAATTAAAAAATGGAGAAATTATAATGCCAGAAAGAAAGAAAGGAAAGAAAAATGGAAGAAAGAAAATTAAAAGAATCTCGCATGGCGTAGAGAAAGAGCAAGGGAGAGTGAGGGAGAGGACGTCACGGCGAGAGTATCGGCAAGGAAGTGGGAACGTACAAGTAATCGGGTAATTGCATTAATTTCCGCGTTCGCGGTCGTCACGAAAGCTTCGACGCAACAGCTTGGCGGTTCGTGATCGCGATTCATGGAAGTATTCGGATCGTTAGTACGGCCTATCCGTGACAATTACGCTTTTACGAGTTTCACCAGGCCCTTACCTGTTGTGGAACTTGTATCTGTAGTCGTCCGCGGCGACTATGTCCAGCAGGAGGATGTACTTGGCCTTCGTGTCCAGTCCGGAAACTCGGAACTTCATCTGAGGGAACATCTGCCTGGAACCCCCGATCAACAGACACAGTTCGATTAGATAACGGTAATTACTCCAATTGGGATACGATTAACGAATTAAACATACGGTGTTCGGGCATCGATTTACATTAAACGTATGAAATTAGCCAAAACGCCGTGTTTCGCGTGGTTTCTTCGCATGCTTTCAGGTTTTTCGTTCAGTGTCTCCTGGCGAAATTAATACCGGGATTACCGGGCAGGCTAAAATGACTTGTTCCAGGTTTATTTTTATCCATGCTGCAAATGCGACGCATAGTTTCTTGCGTCGAGGATGGTATTTATTGATTTTTATTCCGATAAGAACCCGATCCCGTGTACTTATTTATTTTTATTACAGGCTTTAATTATTATTATTTATGTATATTGTATTTTGATACGCATTACAGGTCGGTAGCTCTAGTGTTATTATAATACTTAACCCCTAACACGCTATGAGATTTTCATGCACGATGATCTAGACATGTCATGCGAGCGAAGCTATGTTTAAGATGTTTCAACTTGCCTAACACGCATGAATTTCGAATAATTTAGTCGCGGATGGGATAGACTGAAATTAAGTATCCTCTCGTCGCGCGCAATTTTTAGTAAATAAATTTTGAAGCTACGGTAATTTACTTAATTTATCTAAGTATTAACAGAGACGTAGGTATTGTTGATGATATTGTTTTAGCGATTGAGCATGGTTAACATAAATTGCGTAAAATATTCTGTTCTGAAGGATCATGCGTATAGTATATTTCTACGAGTTCCTTCGGTAGGTATAGTATGTATCAGCACATTTTACCAGATAGTTAATCAAGACATACATTGACACGATTGAAACTTGCAAAGGAACATCAAGTGATCAGAGTCATAAATTTTCACTATATGTTCAGTAAACATATTTATCAACAAGCCTTGCAAAATTAAAGGTATTTTTTGTATTAATTATATATTAATATTAAATTATACTCAATTCTAGTGAGTCGTCCAACCCGAATATCTACAATCGCTGTCAAGTAGGTACTCAAAGCACTCATTGATGTATTTTGAACTTACAAAAGATGTAACATCAACCAAACCTAACCTAACTTAAACCATGTATCCATTAACGATACCGTTTATATTATTTATATATTAATATTTAATCATGCTATATTCTAATGTCTCGTCCAATCCAAATGTCTGCAGCCTCTGTCAAATAGGTACTCAAAGCACACAGTGACACGTTTTGAAGTCACAAAAAGCTTGACATCAATCAAACCTAACCTAACTCAAACTACGTATTCGTCAACGATACTTTTTACATTAATTATATATTAATATTAAATTATACTCAATTCCAATGACTCGTCTAACCACTGTCAAATAGATATCCGAAACACCCACTGATATATATTGAACTCACGAAAGATGTGACATCAACTAAACCTAACCTAACTTAAACCATGTGTCCATTAACGATACAATTTATATTATTTATATATTAATAATCAATCTTGCTATATTCTAATGTCTCGTCCAACCCAAATGTCTGCAGCCTCTGTCAAATAGGTACTCAAAGCACCCAGTGACACGTTTTGAATTGACAGAAGGCCGGACATCAAGCAAACCTAACTTACCCAGTACCACTTATCTGTCAACTATACCTATCAACAATACATAATAGTATTCGATCAATCTTAATCCAAATGACACGTCCAACCCAAATGTCTGTAGCCTTTGCCAAATAGGTACTCAAAGCATCCAGTGGCACGTTTTGATCTCACAAAAGGCTTGACATCAACCGAACCTAACTTACCCAGTACCACTTATCGGTCAACTATACCTATCAACAATACATAACAGTATTCGATCAATCTCAATCCAAATGACTCGTCTAATCGCGAAAACACCCAGTGACACATTTTGGACTAACATCAACCAAATCTAACTCAACTCGAACCAAATGTCAATCAACATACTTATCAACAAAACCTACAAAATCAACTATACCTTCTACATTAACAACATATTAATATTCTATCATACTCATGCCTAAAGACCCATCCATCCCATCTTCCTACCTCTGTCAAGTACCTAAAACAGCCACTGCCAAACGATCTGACCCGAAGCAAACCCACAAATCCATCAACCATATTCGAGAACAAAAGCAAGAAAAGCAAGTGACCCGAAATGCAGCTCATTAGAGCCAGCAACTGCGGGACCCTGTCACGCATCCATCAAAACGCGAGCGCGTCGACGCGAGACCATTCGTCGATCCGTAGCTCAGCTTTCACTCGCTTCGATCGGCTCGCGTTGCAGGCAATAAATACACGTTGCTCGTATTTGCTATTAAAATCTGGAAGAATTAAAGGCCTTAGCCGGTGGATTTTCATCGGAATGCCGACGGAATAGAAACGTGCACGAGTCAATCGTGGCCGCTGTGACAGAGGCTCGAGGCGCGTTCCCGGCGGATAAAAAGCGGATCTTGTCGCGAGAGGGCATCAGCACGCGGCCGGCAGTTAGGGAGGCACTCGGTGCACGCCGTGGTATTATCATCCCGCTGGAAGAAAGGGCGCCTTCTGTCGCGCGAGCGCGTCGGGGAACGCCTGGCCAGGCATTTCGGCGTGTTTTCGCTTTTTCTCCAGAGCCCACGGGGACGTCGCGGTGGCAGAAGGGCGACAGGAAGAATGCCGCGGCTTCGCGAAAATACCCAGACTGCACCCCGGCCACGCGGAATCGCTCGCGGAGACCTCTGGCGGCGGTTCTTGCCAAGCACCGCGCACTCCGCAGGGCCCGCTGCGAGCTGCCGTGGGGCCTAATTGAGCTTTCCGACGCGCCGCGGAGAGCGCAGGTGAGAATTTTATTGAAACGTCCAGGCGCTGGGAAGGCCTGTTGGTAAGCGTAAACTGTGGGAGTGGCCCGTGAGCGATGATCCTTCGATTTCGTGCAAGATGGATGTTTCTTGGTACGTCTGGACGTTGAACCTTGCCTCCATCCTGCAGCCGAGCTTCCACGTAAAGCTTCCATGCCTTGATCGGGCCTGGCATCTCGTGTTTTGTACGGGAGAATTATTTTGGGGAATTTTTATAAAACGACGACGATGATTCTTTTATTATTCAATCGAAGCGTAATAACTGGAATATCGAGGAAGCTTGTAATAATGTAATTTTATTAACGGAAATAAAGAGTTTCCGAAAATAAATAGCCATCTTGAACGAAGCATTACAGGTCATCTAATTCACTCTGAAATGCACCATGACATAGTGCACACGTGTGACGAAATTTTTAAAGAACGATGACGATGATTCCTTTGTTATTAAATTAAAGTCAACGAATTTTTTCTGAAAATCTGCGTGACTATGATCGTCACAAAATTCTTAGGTAAGCTTCATTTAAAACATTTTTCAAAACGAACTATACTTTAGGTAACAATCGAGAACGAAGCTTTACATGGGACACCCTATACAATTCCACAAATTTTACAGGAAAAAATTTATAAATGTTGTTAAGATGGTAATTGCAAATCGCTATCTGTGTGTTGGAAGTTTGTGTATCTAGACATAGGTATGACATCCAGTGGACAATTGGCACTTTGGGCATCTTCTGTGTTTTCCTGACTCGCTCTAACGTAATTGCAGAGACCAGAGACTAGTTGCACAGCTACCACATGTTTTGTAATAAAGAATTATAAAAATAATACCACTACATACACGCGAACCCTTTACAGTGTGCCACGAATTCTTTTCATTCGTCGCTTCGTCGCAGGAATTTTGAACAAATATTTTAAAGGTGTTGACAACTGAAGAAACTGATCCATTCTTGCAAAGATCAACGCATAAAATGAACATCCAGTGTGAACATCACTTCATAGTATTACAGGATGGCGAAAACTGGTTTTGACAGACCAAAAACCAGAACAGAATAACGCAAACACGAAACTCGTAAAATTAATTTAACCCTCTATGGACCGAATATATATTTTTCTTGGCTACAAGAATTGTATGTAACATAAAATCAACAAATATCAACCAATAAATTTAGTAGTTTTGACAATTTTATAACGAATTCATATTGCAAGTTTGAATTAACAACGTTTGTACTACTGTGCCAAGATAATGTGCAACAGATAGACAAGATAATTTTCCACGCCATCTAGAAAATAAGTCATAGAGTGCCATAGGGGACCTAACTCATCATGATCGAATAACCGGTAAATGAAAAAGAATTAAAATTTTTAAAAATGGACTGGGAGGTATTGTAAAATTAATTATAAATATACCGAAAGAAAAATCGCGAACTAGAGTGATCAATACGACAACGTTGAATGCAGTATTTAATAAAATATCCATACATTAGCATGTAACTTGAAAGTTACAGGAGCCCACAGAGTGTTAACTTAGGAAAGGAACACCAAAATAACGCAACGTTGCAGTCAAAGTGTTGATTCAACACTCGCTATGAACAATATTCCGAATATCCGAGTAAAAGGTTCTTCCCTACAAATTATTCCACATAACAGACTCGTGAAAACAGTGTGCAGGAAATTGAAATTGTAGAATCGAGGATCTGTGAGTCGATAAGTCAGGGTACCCTAAAAGAAGCAAGTACAGAGAGGATAACCGAGGGAGACGCGAGGACAGGAGGAAAGTGGTCGTTGAAACGAAGCAAAGAATGCTTTATGTAACGAAGAAGCGAACCCCGGCTGGAAAGTGGAGCCGAAGAAGGGAAACTTGGACACTGGGACTAATCGCGAGACTCGTGCTGTAACGAACACGGAGACACCGAAATTGCTTCTCGAGATGAAGCATGTTCCACACGGGTTTACGTAACGAAGGATGGAGCACTCTCGTGGATAATCTAACGTCCAGAAGAGGATGGCCGATAAAAGAGCGTGTGTCGCAACTGGCCGGTCGCAAAAACTAGGTGCTATCGTGCGGTGGTAAAAAACCGGAGGATGATAAGCATTTGTTGACTCCGTGGCGGCCTGAGCTCGTGATTCGCGCGGCAGACATAACACGAT